GTCTTCTCTCCTCCAGAGTAAGTAAACATCTCCAGTTTCTTTCATTGATCTTTATGTGATATGGACTCAAGTTTTTTTGAGTTTTCAGTTGTGGTTGTCCTCTTCTGGATGCCTTCCAGTTTATCAACGTCTTTCCAAAACTGAGCTTCCAGGAACTGAACGTGATCCTCCCCTTGTCGTCTTCTTATTTCTGAAAACTTTAACTCTTTTGGGGAGGCTCATGATCATATTAACCTTTTTTTTTTTGGCAGCCACATTTGCACTTGTGTCTGATATCAAACATTCAATATTTCAGGCCCTGAGAGCCTTTTCGGACAAGCTGCTTTCTAACCGTACCTTCCTTTAGCTTCTATTTGTGAAGCTGATTTTTTGGATTCAAATATAAGACTTGACATTTATTCTTTCTAAATTTCTTCATCTTAGATGTAGCCTAAGGCTGTAGCATTGTTGATTTCTCCTTTGTCTGAGCTCCTCTAATGATTGACATCCATACCATTCATTGATGTTTTCCTAGGAAACAGGATTGTAAGGTGCTTGAGAATGGAGACCTGCCTTGTGTTACCCTGCAGTTCTTGGTTTTTACGTATAGCGTGCATGTAGTAAATACTTGCTGGCTGACCTTCCCCAAGGAGCTTCAGTTCTGACTTGTACTTGCAAAAGCAGGTGGTCATTTTTCTTTACCTTGCCCAACTCAATTCCATTTCATTTTACTTTCATGTCTTTTCCCATACTAATAACCCAGAAGAGCTGTATGACTCACCATCAGATAGGAGATGGCATGGAGAGAATGAAAAGACCTTCTCAAGGGGTGAATCTCAAGTATTCAGCTTCAGTGAGCAGCTCTTCTTTGTCTGTGTCACTGTCAAACTGGCAATGAAGTGACTAATAACAATAATTGCTCATATGGGTTAGCCCCTTAAGGCTTACAAAAAGTTTTCATCTGAAAAACCTGATGAGGTCAGTAGAATAACAATTTTTAACTTCATTTTACAGATGAGGAAATGGAAGTTCCAAGAGACATGACTCCCCCAGGGTCAAACATTTCATAAATGTCTGAGTTCTTTTTCCAGTAGCAGTTAAGGTTTTACATGGTTCCAGTTCCATTCATTCTTTTTCCCGGCTTTCCTCACTTCCAACAGCGTGAACGTGAGGTGGTTAGCCAGATTTAGACCCTCACTCGGTGGCCAAAGCTACCTGGTTTGTGAAGCCACTGAAAATATCTACATGATCCTTAGCACATTTATAGTGTCCCAAAAGTCTTAGATAGCTTAAAGCTTTGAAAGTCATGAAATGAATAACTGAGCGAGAGTTTCTCCCTGGTAAGTGCAAGAAAAGATTTTATAGCTTAAAACACCACTGTGACTTTTAGGATATCCTATACATGCCTTTCAGCATTTTACATGTATTATCCTCAAAACTAACCCAATGCAAACTATGTGGTACAAGTATCATTATCCAGGAAAACTAACGCTCAGGTTGGTGAGATGACTTGGTCATGTTCACACATGAGTCACAGGGACTGTGTCCCAGGTCTTTTGATTCTAGAGACTGGCTCTTTCTACTATTCTATAATGCTGTTCCAAACCACTGATCTAATGGTGGAAGGTCTTCTTCAGTCTACAAGAGCTGTACCACCATCAGGATTAGAATTAGCCTGACCTCAGCCTAGATAGAGCCTGCTACCAAGGTCCCACTCTGGGGGAACCTACCATGAACATGATTATCCTTTCAGTTTTATCCATGCTGGCTTGGCCCTGCTCTTGTGCCAAGCAGGCAGAATTGTGTGTCAAGAATTCTTTTGGGCTGGTGTGTGTGAGTGTGTGTATGTATTTTTATGTATCCATATCAGAAGCACTTAGGTAAAAGTAAAAAACTTGAGGTTCTTAGGAAGCCCTTAGAAAGGAGCTTGCCAGGAAGTATAAAAAAGTGATTTAAACACACATACTGCTTTGTTTCAAGTAGTTTGGTGTTACATATTTTGATACCATATAACCCATTTAATGAATAGTCAATAAATGCGTATAAATGAGTGAGTTGGTTTTTCAACAAGGTAAGAAAGCAGTATATGTTGGTTAAGAGAAAGGAGAGTTCTGGAGGGTAGATGATTAGGGGAAATAGTCATTCTCCTAGCCATGGAAGCTTTTGTGAAGAAACTAGCATCTCAGGGGCAGTTAAATTGATGAGAAAGGGTCAGAGTTTATTGGTTTGGGACAAGGAAGAAATATGTTTCAGGGAAAAGGTTTAGGGTATATAAATAGTGATCTTCCGATCACCTATTGAAAGATGTTCAATGTAACTGAAATAAGAGGAAGAGAGATGAGAGAGATATAATGTAGTTGGGTGGTGGCACTTAGAATCAGTGATAATAAATAGGGTATTATTAATAAAACCACCCTACAGTGTTGAGTCTCAGTTTTTTTTATTATAAGGACCCCATTTTAGCATCAAAATTACACAAATCCCACCAAAATTTTTAGTTTCTATTGGGAAAATATATGATAACTAATAGTTACTATTCAGTATTGTCTTTTAAAATAAATGTTCTATAAATGCTTTTTTTTTTTTTACATCATTGCCACTTTCCAGAGACCATCCACCTCCACTGCATAACTCTCCCATGAAACATGGAAGTACAGTTAAGCAAAACAAATGGGCACATTGGCTATGTCTGATTGTGTATTCCCTATTCTATACCTATTGTCTGCTATATCTCTGGGAGACGAGGCATTCTTCACCATCCATCTTCTGAAGTCACTGCTGGTTTCAGTATTGCTTGTAAATGAATTTCTATTTCATGAATCACAACAGCTTCTACATACGTTAGAAGGATAGTAATACATACGTATGTGAGACATGATTCAGTTTCCTCACCTCTTCCAATGAGTCCAAGGATCAAAAGCAAGGAACTGCTGCAGGGAGACTTTTATTTCTTTTTTTTAAATTAAATTAATTTCTTTATTTTTAGTTTTCAATATTCACTTTTATAAGATTTTGAGTTCTAAATTTTTCTTCTTCCCTTGCCTCTTCCCTCCCCAAGACAGCATGCAATCAGATATAGGCTATACATGTATGATCATATTAAACATATTTCTACATTAGTCATCATGTAAAAGAAAAATCAGAACAAAAGGGAAAAAGCACAAGAAAGAAAAAAGAGAGAGAGAAAATAGTATGCTTTGATCTGCATTCAGACTCAATAGTTTGTTCGCTGGGTATGGATAGCATTTTCCTTCATGAGTCTTTTGGAATTGTCTTAGATCATTGCATTGCTGAGAAGAATTAAATGTATCAAAGTGGGTCATCACACAATGTTGCTCTTACTGCGTACGTACAATGTTCTGGTTCTGCTCGCTTCACTCAGCATCAGTTCATGTCAGTCTTTCCAGGTTTTTCTGAAATCTACCTTCTCGTCATTTCTTATGGAACAATTGTATTCCATTACATTAATATACCACAGCTTGTTCACCATTCCCCAATTGATGGACATCCCCTTAATTTCCCATTCTTTGATACCACAAAAAGAGCTGCTACAAATATTTTTGTACATGTTGAGGAGAATTTTATTTCTACTCTGAAGTAGGGAAATTAAGGAATACAAGGTAATAGTGCTAACAAGCCATCACAGACCAAATTAATAATTCTGCAAGGTGGAGGAATTGGAGATTAGTTGAAAACCTTAAAAAATAAATAACTCATAAGTGCCCTCAAATTTTTTAGAAACTCTGTCAACATAAAAGCTATTTATATGTTAATTATCCATCATTCTTGTATCATCAGACTATGAATTTGTGCACCTGAAAGTAATTAATTTTTTAAAACCTACAGATCAGACTTTAGTCAATCTAGACCAGCATGTATAAGTTAATGATATTTATATATTAAATTTACATGCAATTTATGTATCTGTACACACACACACACACAAAATATGTTGATGGTTTGAGTGTGTTGTGTGGGTGGTATTATCACATTTATTTGAAGGCCTATTGTTTGCAGAGACCTGTAGAACTCGGTCCTTCTCCTTGAAAGATTTATAATCCAAAGGATTATAAAAGGGGGGAAAATTGTACTCAAGCGGGGAAAAATTGACACATTTAATAAAGGAAACAGTGAATTAGTCATTTTTATAGCCTTGTTCCCATCTGAGAACCTTCTTGTGCAAGTTTGAGATCTGGGGGCATACTTATTCTTAGACCATCATTACAAAGGGGTCTGTGTATTAGTGGATTGATCTCAATATGTACATACACTATCAGTAAGGAAGGTAATAGGAAGACAATGAGAAGCTTTCCCCAGTGAGTATATCTTTTTATTCTTTTAGAGAAGGTCTCTCAGATTGTGGTCACTTTGCCTACCTAGAAATTTCGTGCAGGGAAGGTCAGAGGGGAGAGTTCTGCTTTAGCACTAAGCTCCCTATCTCCCTCACAAGCCCACAGTTGTCTTGGTCTACTTGGAGAATGTCTGTTTAGGCACTTCCCACCATTAAGAATCAGTAGGGAAAAGAAGCCATGAGTGGCAATGGCCATTTTTTAGTTTCTTGGAAAAAAAATATTGGTACCTTTTCCTTTTAACATCAGCTATTTCCCAATATAACCCACTCCTGGCCCTAACAAAGAGCAAATATTGAGCGTAATTGATAGACACTGTGACCCCATCTGTCAGCAATAAACGATGAGTTTTTTCACTTGTGCACTTGTAGGGGCCTTAGGGGAAGAAAGCAAAGTAAGGAATAAGCACCAAAGGAGCTTTGGAACCCTGGAGCTGAGTGAATCCTGGGAGGCCAGGAGGTGTTGGTTACTAGCTAGATAATGTCCAGTGCTGGCCAAGGACAGCATCCACGAGATCAATTTAGTGAAACATTTGTTGCAAACTTTGAGGTCTCTATCTGATTGATGATTCTTAGATTTTGCTAAGGAGGTTAAAATTAAAATTTTATTTTCTTAGATTAATTTGCTGATTTCCTGTTTCTCTCTCTCCTTTTTGTTTTATTTCTCTCCAAGGCTATGCCTTTCTGCTGTTCCAGGAGGAAAGCTCAGTACAAGCTTTGATAGATGCCTGTCTAGAAGAAGATAGTAAACTTTACCTATGTGTGTCAAGTCCAACCATAAAAGATAAACCGGTAAGTAACCTCTAACTAGCTGTTCTTTTGTTCGGTCCAGAGTGAATGTGGACCCGGAATGGATGCTTCCCTCCTCCTTGTAACGGTATCACTTGGTACTGGGATCCTCTTACCCAGGATAACATTTGCATGCAGCAGAATTTTGGCTTTGGTGTCGAAAAGCTAATGGCAAATTATTTGGGATTTTCTGCTACCTTCAGATCTCTCTCACTCTATAAATAGATGTGCCGTGGACTCTTATTTTAGGACTCTGGTGAGGTAATTGATGTTAAAATCTAGATTGAAGTAATAGTGATCTTCAGCATTCTTGGCAACTGTCTTCTGTATTGGATCAGAGCAGAATTAAAAAATTCTGATCATAATCATCAGCATTTATATGCTTATATATGCAGGGCACTGTTGTATATTTTATCCAAAGTCGGTTATGTAGACCTAGTCCTTACCTTCTAGAAGCTCAGGATATTAGACATATAATATCAGTATTGATCAGCGTCATGCTTTCTGACACTGGTGAGACTTTTTGAGGACTTAACACCTAGAGAAGTCGTAAAAACCAGGAGGTGGTGCATTTGAGTATAGATATGGGTGCTGTCACATTCAAAGTCTGTGACTAGGTGTTTGTGGTTGCCTTGGCTAGAGGGGGAGAGAAAGACAGCTGTTAGGAGAGGAAACTTCCTCCAGTCAAGGAAGGAGTTGTAGAGCAGGTATAGTTGTAAGAGGGGAAGGGAATTGAGGAGAATTGAAATTGGTTATTCCATGACAAAGTTAAGGAATGATGGTACAGGGGCACAGTTTGAAGGCAAGCAACCAGGAGTGGGATATTTTTAATATAGGGAGGGCCTGTCCAGAAGGGTGGACTGATCTGAGAGAATAGGCAGGGGATTCAAGGATGCTAGATTATCTGGGTCAACTGGTTTGAGGGCCTTTGTAGCAGAGGGTAAGGCATGTAGGCCTCCAAGGGTGATGGCATCAGACAGCAGGCTTTAGGGGAGGAGGGGTCAGTAGATAAATGCTACATGGCCATCATTGGCTGGGAAACTGGCTTGGAGAACAACAGCATTAAAATCCAGGAAGCTTATAGTCCCTATGGGAGAATCCGGAAGAAGCAGAGTCGTTGAGGCAGTTTAAGGATGGTGTACCTTGCTTGAATACTGTGGACAATTAGCTAGGTGCCAAGATAGCATCAAAGGGCTAAAAGGGTGGAACAAGGCTTGGTGAAATTGTTTGTGGAGTAGAGGTTGGGGACAAGGGGACAGGAATGCAGTTTGGGATTGATTGGGGAGTTCTAAGTTTTGGAGTCAGGGAAAGAGTATGGTCTAGGGTCATGAAATGGAGAGGCAAGGAAGGAGGTTGTATCTGCTATCTCTCATCTGAACGGAGTGCTAAAGACTTCAGGATGTGTCTGGAAGATTCTGAGGGTTTCAGCAAAATGCTGAAATGGTCAGGAACTGGTTTGGGTTACCTCTAGGTCTGTAACAGGGAAGATGATTTCATGTCAGCTAGTGTTTGGTTGGAGTAAGTGAACACAAATGCAGAGTGTCAGAAGTCAATATTTTAGGTTGTCTGCCCTCAAAAATTACCCCCCTCCTTTCCATCGCCCATGTGATACAGTGTCTGTGGGCATGAGGTGGAATACAGGCCTGACTCATCAGCAAGAGAGGAACATGGACAAGACCATAAGACAGTGTTGAATGTGAAAATTGCTTCTTTGAGCCTATGGAGAAGATACTTGTGAGGGGGACATCTGGCTAAGACAACAGAAACATAGCTGAACCAGTGACTTATATGAAAGACTGCTTGGTACAATGGATAGAGCATCAGACTTGGAATCAAGACTACCTGGGTTCCTGTCCTGCCCCAATATTTATCACCTATATGGCCATGGACAAGTCACTTAACTCTCCAAGTCTCAGTTTCCTTATCTGCAAAATGGGAATGATAATAATAATCCTTGTGCTACCGACCTCAAAGACTGTTGTGAAGAAAGTGCTTTGCAAACTTTGACGTTTTAGAGCAATGTGAATTGCTGTTCTTAGCATTAAGTGTGGCAGTGTGTCGTATGGCAAATTCTATTAGGAAGCCTGGGCAATGCAGTGATACTGTCAGAAAGTGTGGCCTTTTTTTGCAGGAGATTGAAAGGGTGCTGCCATTGGCACATGATTAGTAAAGACTGTCTTTATTACAAACAGACCTAATACCCTTGGCTTTAAGGATTCTCGGAAATGATGGGAGACAGTATAGTACAGAGGAAAACAGGCTAACTTTGAAGTCAGAGGACATGGGTTCAAATGCTGCCTGGGTTCAACTGTCCTTGGCTACTTTCTATCGCTGTGCCCATGGGCAAGTCACATAACCTCCTTGGGCCTCAGTTTCCTTTTTAGTAAAATGGGACAGTTGGGAGCCTCTGGAGTCCCTTCCATCTCTGCATCTATGACCTTATGACTAGTGGAATTTTCTGTTGTAGAAATAATATAGCACGTGTGTATCCTTCAATTTATGTTTTGTATTTTACTGTTCCAGACCTTAATAAAGTCTTTACATTGCAGTCCTGTGGACTTGAGTGTAACTGGTGTGGGTTGTGAGCTATATCCATGTCTTCACACCCAGAACTTACCACACAAACTAGCTGAATGAAATTTTTGGTGGACGGCGTGATTGTTTTCAAACCGTTACAACTCCGGTCTACCACAACTCTATTCACCTGCTTGTAAGTCTTCATGTGACCCAGATGTGGATTCCAAGCCCACTGGCCCCACACCTTCCTTCCTTATTGCTCTTAACTCTGGTCTCACAACCACTTTTAGCCTCCTCTGGCTCTGTTTGCTTCCAACCCAAGCCACTCTTCCTAGTACACCTTTGGTTTGTTGTGCTCAGGTCATCTTAGAGACCTGGATTTCTGACCATCTCCATAAAACCTGCTTGCTTAGTTCTAGGCCTTCCATCTACTCTGTGAACATGCCAGAAGAGAGAGGATGAGATACAAGGCTGGCTCCAGCAAAAAATTTTGGAGCCACACCTCCTTTTCTGTGCCCCTTCTCTTTCGTTTCATATATTTCTTTTCCACCAAGTCCCAGCACTCCAGGGTCCTGATATCCTTGGCACCCTCCCTACTGTTATGGCCCTGACCAAGACTGCCACCCTCCAAAGTGGTCCATGCTCCAAGTTCCAAAATTACTTGTCAGTTCAACAAGCATTTATTAAATATCTATGTCCCAGGCACTGCGGTCCACTTAATTAATTCTTTCCTTCCCCACACCCAGTTATACTTTAACTGTGGAGCAGCAGAAAGAAGTTTGGAATTAGAGCCAACAGGCCTAGTTTCATGTCCTAGTTCTATCTGCATCTTGGGTAAGTCACTTTAGATTCTATGGTCCTCAGCTTCCTAATCTATTAAAATATCAAATATTAAAAATATTAAAATAAATTTAATTTAGTTGAAAATAAATTAAAATATAAAATATCTATTAAAAATTGGGAAGTTCCTTCCAAATACATACCTAGAATCTTTGATTCTATTATTTTACATCCTTCTTTTTTAAGGATTCCCATTATTTTTCTGTGAATTAGTTTTATTAGATTGCTTTTCTAAGACCTAGCACTAAGATCTGAATGGTTGGTAGCTTCTCTCCCCTTCTTCTCATAAGTTTCCTGCTCTCAAGCCCCATTGAAGATGCTGGCATCTATAGTTTTTCCATTTCCCAGCATGGAATGTCCACAACCTAGGCCTTTCTTTTCAAAAATGGTCATATGGTTTTATATAGGTGATGGCAAAGAATTTAGAAAAGGCCCTTAATGCATTGGTGGGGCCCCTTTGGAGGATTTATGGGAAGGTATAATAATAATGATGTCTTTTACACACATTCTCATTTGATCCTAACAGCAAGCCTGTGAGTTAAGTATCAGAGGTATTATTTCTGTTGTACAGGTGAAGAAATTGAGGCTCAGAACTTGTGACCCAGCCATTCAGCTAGTCAGAGATGAAATTAAATCCAAGTCTTCCTTACTTTCCGAGTCTAGCATCCTTTCCATTACACAGCATCTTTTAGACAAGAGTTGGGCAGTCATGGAAGGCTGTGACCTCCACTATTGGAGGGGGGAGACCACCTATCTTGCCACATACTTTTTGTCTCAAGATCCTACCCCCCCTCCCAAATCCTCAAGCCTACCAGAAAAATACATTTCCCTACAACAAGCAAATCTTCTGAATAGAATGATTACAACTAATAGAACATGTCATCGTCTATATTTAATCACTGATTTATTGTTAATGGAAAAGATGAAAGACAGCATGGCAGAGTGGATAGAGAACTGGACTGAGGAGACGCAAGATCTGGGTTTGAACAATGTGTGTTTCAACTGTAATTGTTTGATACTAACATCCATTCCTTTTGGCCTCCATTCTGTTGTCTTTTAGTGTTGTCTTTATTCACAGTGTGGTTATCCTTGTTTATATTGATTGTCCTTTTGCCTCTGCTTTTTTCACTTGTCCAGGTGTGAATAGCTGGTAGGTGTACCCCCTGCTCAGGTGCTGGAGGATAAAGCAGGGATGGACATTGGAGGGCCAGAGCCAGGGCCAGGCTTAGCATAAGGTAGAACAGCCTTCTCCGATTAGCACAGTCTGGCCTGCAGGCTCTGGACAAGAAGCTGGTAGAGAAGGGAAAAGGGGAGTCTGTGGTGCCTAGCTTAAAGAATTTGGGAGCGATGGTTAGCTTCTTCCAAAAAAAGTGAGAGAGAGAGAGAGAGAACGAGTGTGAAGAGAGAGAGTGAGTCTGGTCACTGGACTCCTTCTAGGATAGATCTCTTGGGTCTTCGGAAGGGGATCAGAACTGATTCCCATTTCCCTTTCCTCTCCCCATAACTGTACCCATAAATATTTTTTTCGGCAGTGTACATTAATGCTGTTCAAGGTACAGTAACTTAGGCAGTTGTTATGAAGTGAGAAAAGCTTGGATTTGGGAAGAGATGGGTTTGATCTTAGCTTTGGCTACTTACTACCTCTG